AACGCAGCAACATATTATAACAGTTCCTACATTCACACTTCATATATACAGACAAATGAAGCCCTCAGTTCTCAGCGTTGGCTCAGGAATGCAGATGATGTTATTTTCACAATCTCAATTGAAAAACGAAAGAAGATACTCAACTTTCCAAGATTAATTAATTCGTAAACTCTGCGAACGAACTTTTAAAAAACAAATTAGCCACCAAAAATAACCAAGAGACTATCTGCAGCTGCATGCATACCTTCTTGACAGATGCAGACCATGAAAGAACAAGACCCAAGAAAACAATAAAGAAGAAGGGTCCCCATAGATCCCAATCCCTCAGAGCCATCCCGGGGTCCTCGCGGAAGGGGTTAGGAAACACAACCTGCTTCAGATTATTAACAATCCTCGTTAGATCCCTTCTCACGGTGTCCCAGACCGGCTCTGTCAACGTGTCCGGAGGCGAGCCAAATCCACTGGGCGTAATATTAGGACGTCCATTGTTGGCCGGAGGTGGAATCGGGGGAGGAGGAGCGGGAAGAGCCGGTGGCTTCTGATTGGAAGATTTCGGCGGAGGTGGAATACCAGCAGGCATATATGGCGACGAAGATACAGGAATTGAAGCTCGAGGAGGACTGGGAGGTCTGGCAGGGAGAACCGTGGTGGGTCCCGATTGGACGCTAGCACGAATGAGGTTCTCGATCTCGTCAATGTCGGACTGGGACGATTGGTGCAGAGGTATGGTATCGGCGTGTGACATTTTCTCGACTCCTTAGAAAGAGGGATTCAGGGGATAGAAGTTTCAGAGGAGAGGAAGGAGAGGATGAGAAATCATAAAGAGAAAGTGAAGGATCAGAATAGGGAGAGAATGAAATTCTGAAGACGGAGCGAGAAAACGTAGCTGAGAAGCATGGAGATGGCATGAAAATAGTTGCAGGGGAGGAAAGCGGCAATGAACGTGCAATTTTGGACTTCAGTTGGTTTTGTGTCTTAATTTTGTTTTTTTTTTTTGCCAGAGCGGTTTTTTTTTTAAAAAAAAACATAGATATTCTCCTATTAGAGGTAATTTTATTTGAGACTTTGTCTGGCACTAAATGTGGACACCTCTTCTTGTTAGAATTTGAATCTTGGTTTGTCACGTTATAAGGGACTAGTCCCTTCCACTAGACCTAATTCCTGTTAGTTGCGAGAGCGGTTATGTGTCTTAATATTTTTCACAACTCACTCATTTGGCCCACCCCATTGTAACTAACTAGCCATGGAAAGATAATAGTTTCATGTTTTTTAAAAAGATAATATCTATTTTTTTGACATTTAAATATCACTGAAATTTGTTAAAAATATCTATTACTATATAAAAATAGAGTACAAAGTATGACTTACTAACAGACTGTCACTTAGCTTCACTACAAGATAAATGGGTTTTTTTTTTTAAAGCCAAAATTTTATATCCAGCTTCCTATTTATGCGTTATTCACCACCATAATGCATATTCTTCTTTATTCCTACTACCTATCTCTTTTTGTGGTAAAATTAGTTAGCTATCTCTCATAATACAATATTTTTTTATTTAAGTGGTTTTAGTTGAATTCTTGGGATGTATTGTTTATATATTTTTTAATTGAATTGTTTGCAGATAAATTTTTTTTTATTTTTGTTAAAGCCACATTTCTATTAATGATCTCTCTATTTATGCGTTTTTCTTGGAAATTAGTTTGATCATATTTATTTGAGTGCACGTTTCATGTCTTTCTATTTATTTTTGAAAAATAATGATTTTTGTCAATGTTAGATAAATCTACTTTTTTTATAATTTTTTGATTAATTCAATTAATTCTGATTTATTATAGAATTTATTGTAATTATTTCCAATAATGAGCCTTATTTTTTTTTTCTATTTTTGTAAAAACCAAAATACCCTTTATATGCAAATATTTTAAATTAAGAAATATAAATAAAATTATATAACTTCTCTTATTCTGAAAATCGTGGCATATATGCGAGGCATGATGTATGTTCAAAATTTGAAATTTGATGGTATTATTTAAAATTAATTATGCTTGAAATTTAATTTCAACTGGTCTATTAGTATAATGAAAATGATATCCTACGCCCTAAATCTAAACTATTATTTATACCTAAAATATTTATTATTTTTATTTATGAATTATTTTGAAATCTAATTCAAATGAAAAATTTTTTTACTTCAGCTATTTAGAATTAAAATTTATTTTAAAATAAAATAAAATATTAATTTTTTATTAATTCAATTAATTCCGATTTATTACAGAATTTATTGTAATTATCTCCAATAATGAGCCTTATTTTTTCTATTTTTTGTAAAAACCAAAATACCCTTTATATGCAAATATTTTAAATTAAGAAAAATAAATAAAATTATATAACTTCTCTTATCCCGAAAATCATGACGTATATGCGAGGCATGGTGTATGTTCAAAATTTAAAATTTGATGGCATTATTTAAAATTAATTATGCTTGAAATTTAATTTCAGTTGGCCTGTTAGTATATTGAAAATAATATCCACACCCTAAATCTAAACTATTATTTATACCTGAAATATTTATTATCTTTTATTTATGAATTATTTTGAAATCTAATTCAAGTGAAAAATTATTTTACTTCTGCTATTTAGAATTAAAATTTATTTTCAAATAAAATAAAATATTAATTTTTAAGAAAAACAATCGATGTCTTTTATGGATTAGCTTAATAAAAAAAATGAAATACAAACTTAAATATATTAGTTGAGATTTTTTTTTAATGCTAGTATGTGATTTTAACAATATGAACTACTCAATTTCCTAATATATTGAATAGTGAACCTATTTTATATTTTATTTGACATTTGTCTATTATTAATGATCTCAAATAGTGAATTTCCTAATTATCATTATGATAATAAACACATTTTATGTTTTATATCAAATACTAATTCAATCTTAACTCCATGGGGTATGCGGATTTCAGGAGAAAACAACCAGTGTGCGTCCGATGTTTGTGTATGCTAGGGGAGAGTTATAGGGGTTATGATAGTTACTCAATTATCACAGTTATTTGAATAGCCATGAATGTTGCCATGCCATGCACACTCATCTCTTTTTTTTTTTCCCACATGGATAGCTAAGATGACAGGGCTATCACTCTCATAAGATTACATTAGAAGTCTTATTTTATTATTCTTTATGGTGGTGGCCATGAGGTTCCATTTTTACATTGAATATGGATATTTTGATATTGTTTTGGTAGTTTTATATTATTTTATGTTTATATTGTCAATTCCTGAAGTTATTGGCCATAGCAACTACTTTCAACTTATGAGAGTATATTTTTGTGTGGTTTTCAAAATATTTTAACTTACTAACCATTTTGTCTCCATTAATTTTTTTTGTATTAAATAGCCTATTTTTACAATACAGAATCAGATATCATATTTGTCCAATATAATATTATTGACCATGACATTATCTGTGTAATTATTGAATATAATCAAATATTTGAGTTTCAATCCATTAACCCTTTTGTCTCCATTAATTCAATCTTTTTAAAGGAACATCCATTTATATACCTACATATATAGCATATTTCTAAAAATGTTGATAATGATCTACCTATACTACAGATTTCAAAAGCTTAATGATATTTTATTTTAAATTAAGTTGAAATCATGACTTGAAATAGTAATGTAATATTCAACTAATTATTTTGTGGTAATTCAACTTTTTATCTTATATAAAAGAAACCACCAATTCAAACCCATGCATTGCACATGCACTATACTAGTTAAAAGAATAAAAGAATCATATAAATCATTGAGAAAGGCTAGAAAAAAGAAACAAAGAAAAGGAAAGTTGGGGAAAATTCTTTTGAAAGAAAAATTTGGGTGCGAGGGGGGCACGGAAATCCAACTTATTATTTTTATCTATGCAGTCCCCTTCCCACTGTTCTTTCTATAGAGTTACAATATATACAAATATAATAATTATATTTTTTTTATAGGAAAAATCTCAGAAAAAGCTCTTGGAATATAGAAAATTTCAGATTGGGTCCTAGAATTGTGTAAATAACAGAAAAAGTCAATGACCCAATCTGTCATTTGTAAAATCAAAAGAAATCGACAACTTTACTCTAACTAAGTAAAAGTAAGTAGTTATTCTTTAAACAAATCTAAGTAATGCTTACATTATTCTAGTGATTACATGATTAGTTGTAGTTAATAACAAGGTACCTGACTACGAAAAAGTGAGTCGTTATTCTCTGCACGAATTTAGGTAATGCTTACACTATTCTAGTGATTACATGACTAGTTATAGTTAATAACAAGACACCTGAATACGAAAAAGTGAGTAGTTATTCTCTACACGAATCTAGGTAACACCTAAATCCTTATAGTGATTCCTTAAATCATTATAGTGAATGAATACAAATAAGGGCAAATTTGTTAATTCCTCTTGATTTTACAAATGACAGATTAGGTCATTAACCCTTTCTGTCATTTACACAAATCCAAGACCCATCTAGAATTTTTTATATTCCAAGGGTTTTTTTTTTGGATTTTTCCCTTTTTATATAACTCCTGAAGCGGTCATCATCTTTTAGTAAATAGTAATTACATTTATTATAAAAATATTTATTTCAAATAAATACTTCAATATAGAATTAGTACTAGTTTGTATTATTGTTCATAGCTATTATCTCTGCTTTTTAATATAAAAACTAGTTGACTAATTTAAGTAGATTAAAAAATTAATTAAATTATTTATTTATAATAAATATATATTATCTTTTTAAAAATATCTTTACTAATAATGTGTATTAATTGAAATTACTATGTGATAAAATCTTTAACATGTACAATTAATATTACAAAAACTAATTTAAAAAATAGATAAATATAAGAGACAAAATAAATTAGAGCCTTATATTTATATTTAGGGCGAAATTAGAAACCAAATTATTGGAGGTGTTATTGCACAAACATACTGATGATTGTACAAATTAAATGACACTCGCACTCGTGCATCTGAATACAATAAAAGCTTTTGCGAATTTGCCGGAAATAAGTCAACAGTGTCTTAATTACAATTAAAAATAATAAACAAATGAATACAGACAAAAAAAATTCTCCGATCATTCTTCCAGAAAAAGAGATCGACGGAGATAGAAATTTTACAATTTGTGATCAATCCAAAGCTAGAAGAGAAGAAAAAACAAGTGAACAATCATCTCTTCAAGCTGATAGGATCAACAAGAAATCAGGTCCCTCCCTGAAAAACCCAGAAGGAAGACCAAAATATACACAAATCCTCCACCAATCTTGAATTAAACCTGCAGAAAGAATGATGAGCCGATCATGGAGAAAGTTCAAAGCTATTTGTTCTGCAATATCGCAGCTGCAATGAGATCTGCCTCTCCAATTGAAGCTGACGCCTGAAGTTATTAATAAAGATCTCCGCTCTCTTATCGATATCATCATCATCGGAAGGATAACTGGTCGTTCTTATTAACCTATTCGAGGAACCCAAAGATTCAGGGCTGGTATTTGTTACTTCGTCGGAGTTACAGATCATCAGGCCAGATGGTGAGCGATCGGTGAAGCTGAGGTGGCGTCGGGGAAGAGAAGAAGCACGGCGGATGAAGGAGGCGATCTGCCAGGTGCGGCTAAGGACGGCGGAGCTGAGGAGGAATCTGACCTTGTTCACCACCCTCCTCAGACGGCTTAGCAGAGAATGGTTCTTCGCGTTCATGCTCAAATGTTGATGATTGCTTGGGTTATACAGCTAGTTTAATAGCAAAGTGGGGTGTTCGGGTGTGTATATATAGAGAAAGCTAAGTGATGAGGCTGGTAAACATGAAGGATAGGAACTTGCAGGGCAAGTATACATAGAAGAAGGATGCGTGTAGAAATGCAGGACCGCGTATTATTACTATCATGGCGGCTAGCTGGCGAGCTTCTGTTTTACAACTTAGTCTTTGGAACACTTTGGTCAAGTTTGATTGGTTCTCCACGTAGTTAAGGAAAAATTATCCATAAGTTATTCATAAGAAAATTGAATGAATTTTGAGACATAGATTTGATTTAATTCTTGTACCTGACAACTGTGAGTAGCATATTTCTCCTGAAGATAACTCATTCAGGAGCATGATGACACTTTAAAACGTTCAATATTTTATTAATTTCAAAGCAGATATTTTTTACTATTGAAATTACAATTTCTCGGGTAAAATAATTGATTATTTAATGTCGTAGTGTATTTTTTTGGTATAATTTCAAAATTTTAAATGATTTATATAAGCAAAATTGTTTACACTTAGAAAGGTATTAAGAGTTAGACTAATTATGGATGGAATATATATAAATGAGTTTAATAAATATTAAACAATTCAATTGTGATTATTCTTTTCGGCCGCAAACAAAATTATAGTTTAATTTATTGATTTTAAATTGCTACAGACTACTGGGCTTGAAATATTTTTTAATGGGAGATTAGTTGTTAAGTCCGTGTGGCTTAATATGTTAAAATTTGCATATTTATTAACAGGTTGTTGACTTGTTCTGCCTTTAGAATCATTCGTCTCGCTTCACTAGTTTCGTAGGTTGTTAAGATTCTATAATGGAATATTTTATAGGAGAAACGCAGCTTTTTTCCGTTTAAGGAAACTTCCCCTGGAATTCTCTCTTTCGGCTTCTTTGTTTTGAATAGATATATAAGCGTTTAATTTTCAATTGCTTATTTCAGTTTGCTCTGTCTTACGGCGATTTTCCAAAAGAAGAAGCCCAGAAACTACATCAGACTTGGAATAATTTGGACATGTTTAAACATTGAGCTTACGGTATATCTTGATCAATCATTGACTTCTTCTTTTTTTGACCAAAGATCAATCATTGACTTAAAAACCTGATGTTTTACACTATATTCTCTCTATTGCCCACTGGAATGCTGGTATAATGCCTCCTACACCCTAAATATAACATCTAGTGAGGATTTACCACTAACTCTAGAAAAATTATTGGTTTTATGCTTTTCAAGCATGTGGCCATTCTTGAAATCCACTTCATCGTTTACATCTTTCAAAACTTCTCATAAGCTTCTCTTCTACATATATCATTTACTATATTTTTATGTTCTATTTTTCTTCAGGTTAAGGTGCATTTAGTATTCCGAAATATTTTTTCGGGTGCATCCAGTACCCTAAAGTATTTTGTAATGCATTTTGCATCCCAAAGTATTTTTTACAGGCGCCCAACACTCTGAAATTTTTTTTTGCCTTGGTGTTGGATGCAGCAAAAAATATTTTTAAGCGCTAGACGCACCTAAAAAAATACTTTGAGATACTGAATGCATAAAAAAATATTTTATGGTGCTCGATGCATCTAAAAAAAATTTCAGAGTGCTGGATATACCACAAAAATATTTTAAGATGCTGGATGCACCCGAAAAAATATTTCAGGGTATTAGATGTACTTTAACCCTTCTTTTTATAAAAATTACTACCTTCAGTCCTAATCATAAGACCCAATTGACTAATTTAGAGAGATTAAAGAATTTAGTTAAATTAGTTATTTGTAATGATTAGGTATTGTTTTTCCTAAAATATCCTTACTAATCAAGTTTATTATCTAGAACTATCATTATTAGAAGGACTATCTTGGAAAAAGTGGATAAATATGAGAGACAAAGTGGATCAAGATCTTATATTTAAGACCAAAATAATAGTCAAACAGGATCTTATATCAAGGATCGGAGGTAGTACTAAACTAAGAGCGAATGATGAAATAGTAGATCTATGATGAAAAGAGTTGTTTTTGCATGGGTTATGAATCAGGAATGAAGTCAATAACTTGAAAAAACATGAAGTAGATCACACTCAAACCTATCAGCTCCGCATATTTGGTTAGTTAATGGTCAAACTAAACATGAGTAACAACAGAGGCAATATTACTACAATTTAAAACTTCCAGATACCTAGTGTCTTTGAGTTAAAACTTCCAAAGCAAATTTACACCTTAACTCAAAAAAATAAATGACATGAACAATATATAGACCTGCCAACTCAATATAGTTGGTCAACTAACGATCAAACTTAACATAAATAATGGCCAGGGTGATATTACTATGATTTGAAAACTCTCAGGGTGACATTGAGTCAAAAAAATACTCCTAAATACCCAGCACTCCTAAGCATTGGCCATCATGGGTTCCAATCAGGTGCTGTCGGCCCATAGGCCCACGTAAATCAACTCTTTTCACTAATAAAAGGGAATTTTGCAGGCTCACTTTTTTTTATTGATGAAAATAATATACATATATATAATATTAGTACAAATCATAATATAAAGTGGGTCTTATATTAAGAATCAGAAGAGTATTAAAAAAAAGGCTAATAAGGCTCTAGAATAGCCGATTGTGATTGTGATGGTACTGTTTTCACATGCCAATCGTCCTTATCCATCTACTTGTGTCATTGATTAACTTGGATTTTCTGCAAGTCATAGCTATAGGTTATTATTATAAAGTAAATTTTCTTCTCATTTTATTTATTACAGTTATGAATTGTTGATGTCAAATTTTAAAATTTGGATCGTTGAAATCAATTTTTAATCTAACGATGGTGAAGAAAAAAGAATGGTTCTGGTCAAAAAAAAAAAAAAAAAGAATGGTAGAAGAGAGGAAGGGATAGAAAAGAGAAATCAAGTCTATAAATGTCATCTCCAGATTTTACCGGGAGAGATGGCTGCTGGACATTGAAGAATTATGCTCCGTTTGGTAGCAGGGAATTGGAGGAAAGGAAGTAGAACCCATTATTTTATGCGTTTGGTACACGTGAAGTGGGTTCCTGGTGGAAGCTAGTTCCATCAAATTTGATGGAACTCGGCCCCTTAGGTAGACCAGGGAACCGAGATGGGTTCCATGAAAGTGAGATTTTCTGACCATTATACCCTCAGTTGTTTTATCAATTGACCAATTTGCCCATCTCTTCTCCCTCAAACCTGATGCCATCCTCCTCCGGCGTCTATCTCCATCATTGACGATGTCCCCCCCGGCATCCCCTTCGATCTCATCTTCTCCCTTCTCGCTTCCTCCATCACCTTTGACAATGCTGACCTCACGAGGACGATGAAGACGAGGCAAGGTTGGCCTTGCGACGATGATGATGTATGATTGCAGCGGTTTCAACCTTCGATTTTCATTTTGGCTGCTCAAGATCTTTCATCCTCTTCATCTATTTCTTCCATCAACGACAATGGAGAGAGATCAACATTCGGGTCTCTCCAAAGAGTATGGTTTCTACCATCGAGAGGGAGAGATTTCTCTAGATCTGCGAGTCTTCTTCTCCAGAGATGATAGTGCTTTGTTTTTTTTTTTTAAGCTGAAATCTCTGTTACAATTCGCAGCCCATTTTCATTTCTAACAAAGGTGGTTCTTTGCTTCGATGCTGCAACAATGGAAGTATTTTCTTGTCAGATTTTCTGCTATTATTTTTTCCTATGATTTTGGTTCTTGACTTTGATAGCTGCAACCATCTTCTTTGTAATTTTTTTTTTGTTCTTATACTAATTTTCTGGAAGATTTCTTGTTTAAATCCTGTGTTAATGGCCGCCATTGATAGCAGCGTAGCTGGATTGTAGGAACCGCTATGTGGAGGATGAGAAGAAGAAAAGCTAACTTCTTCAACATATGGGTGTTTTGAGTGGATTAATTGCTATAGGAAAGTGGTTTGATCAGATTTAATTTGCAATTGAAAGAATCCTATCACAACAGTTCTAATTCCTGAATAGTTTCCTCCGTCGGCGTGCTCCTTTTCGAACATGGATTTTTTTTCCCTGGGAGGAAGAGTGATTTTTTTGGGCAAGGAGATTTTAGTATTTTCATATTATTAATATATATATTTTAATTAAAATTTAAATTCTACCAATGTTTTAAAAACCGGATTGGACATTGAACCAATGAAGCTAACGGGTCACAGTTCGCACAGTCGGACCGGTTGGATAGATAGTCGAACCGGTAATTTAATAATTAAATAAAAATAATATTATATACATATGTAATACTATAAATAAAAGAAAGAGATATGAAATTTTTACATAACTTAAATACAATCAAACTCTATGTAACATCCTTCCAAAATATCAAGTCCCAGGACATTGAAATCATAAAAAATAACATAATATCACATCATCAATAATAGCAAGTATCAACAAGAAGTTAACAAATCTCACTAACAAAAAACAAGTAGAAGTTCAAGTTCATGACTTATCAAACATTGGTGGATCTTGATTAAGCCAAGCATGAGTTTTTTGGAACTCATCTCCACTATAACTATCAACATGTTCTTGAGAAAATGATTCCAAATCAAGCCCTTCAACTTTAGAGCATCCAACCTCAGCTTCAATCTCATTAACTCTTTTTTAACATCCTCAACTTGATTGACAAAAGCTCTTGGTATTGTTGTATCATCATAAATTATATCTTCTTCTATCTCATCATAACAAAAACAAGAAGAATCATCCTCATCTTCCATGATCCAATACTCAATATCACCAATGCTTTCATAATCAATAGGATCAAAAGATTTTTTCTTGTTAAAAACCCTAAAACACATGACAATGTCAAAGATTAATAAAAGTGAAGATCTCATACGATAAACTTATAAACAAAATAAATTGAAGTAAAGCTTTGGAATAATTAGGAATTTATGGTAAAATACCTATTCTTCAAATGAAAATTATAATGAATAAACACAAGGTCATTTAATCTTTTATGCTCCAACCCATTCTTTTTCTTGAAGTGTATTCTTTCAAATATACTCCAATTTCTTTCACAACTTAATGAGGATAAAGTTTAGCTCAAGAGTCTCATTGTTAATTTTTAAAATTTCGTGCACTATCCCCAAACATCTTCCACCATTCATCTGACACATTGAACATCAAATACAAAAATATATATAAGCAAGTGAATATCAAAAG